ACTTTCCTCTCTCCAGGTCCAGGTGGCCTGGCAGGGCCCTACATTCTTCCTGAGCTGTGAATTCCAAGTACGCCTCAGTTTCTTCCGTTTCCGTAAGCACAGTCACAAGACCTGGGCCACCCAGTTTTCTCTGAAGTTTGATTATGAGGTTAAGATAGAATGGGAACTACCGTCAGCCCAGGAGCGAGCTGTTAGTGGCACCAGGGTGGGACCGAGAGCCCTAGCGGTGGAGGTCAGATGGCAGGGAGCAGCAGGTCCCAGGCTGGACCCATTCATCTCTGTAACTGGGGAGCAGGGTGCGATCAGAATGTTTCTTAAGAGCACGTGCCCGTTAGTGTGGCTCAAGCCTCCTGCCCCTACAAGAAAACAGCAGCAGCAAGAGGGCGTGCTGGAGACAGTGGTAGAGGCTGGGTGGGGGGCATGCATCATGCACTTGTACCATGAGCAGACCCGCTCACCCTACAATGCCTCCTGTGTTTGCTGGGACACGAGAAGGGTGTAGTCCTCCAGCAGGCATGCGTGCTGCCACCGGGAAGACGTGTGTGCCCGTCCGTGCCTCAGCGAATGTTACTGCACCAGTGAGGATGGGCCGCGCCTGAGGAAGGAAGGAGGAGCTGAGATGGCCCGCATAACATGGCAGGTGCTGGGCCGGCCAGAGCTGGTTGGCAGGACTCGGGGTTGGGGGTGGGGGGTCGGAGTCAGAGCAGAATCACAACCCACCCCCAAGGTGGATATCAGGACAGTATGAAAGCTCTTGCTTCCTCAGTCATCACACAAGATCACAGGATTAAAGGAGAAGGAAGTAACACTGAGGGCTCCACATTTTCCATCCTCTGCAGAATCCTTTCAGAAGGACACCTAGAGATGGGAAGGGAGGTTCCGGATATGTTTCACTTCTTTCCCAGATCATTTTTCAGTTGCAGATGTAAGAAACAGCTGGGGGGTGGGAGGGGTTATGCACAGATAAAGCCTTGCCCCCTCCCCTCCCCTCCATTTCCCACACCTGCCTTCTCCACCCTCCCCTCCTGGGGGCCCTTTCCAGTCCTTGCTTGTCCAGCTCCCTGACTCTTTGCATGCTGCAGACACACAGAAAGAAGGAGAGGGTTCGAGTGGTTGTCAGAGAAACTGGCACACAAATTCCAGATTTTAAAATTCCTTCACAGTCCCTAGCAATGAGCACCAGGGACATGTTGCGTGGTCGTCAGTCTCCTCCGCCATCTACTGGCCATTTGGAGGTATGGACCTGCCTGTTGAGCGGGTTCCAGAACCCAGTGTGTACTGTTCTGCTCCTTCAATTGCTGTTTCTGTACAGGGCAACCTCCCCAGGAAGTCCTCCCTTAAATTTCACTTAAATCCCTTCCACAACCTCAGTCCACTTTCTCTTGATGAAATAGCTCAGAAGCAGCCAGTCTGCTCGGGCCTTCTTGTTTTATCTCAAACTTAAACCCTTCCCAAATTGAAAGCCTATTTCTGACTCAGCCACAAAGCAGCTGAGTAGGGCTTGTTGGCTCTAGCATTCCAGCTCTGGGTCTACTTTCCAGCCCTTTAATCTCAGTGGCTCTGCCCTGGCTTTGCTCCAAGTTTCCACTGTCTCTCTGGAGCCTACAGGTGACCACAAGACCCTGATTAGTATCTTTGATACTTGACTCTTCCCCCCTGCCTAAGTAATAGGTCCCTTGGGGTTAAGTGGCACCAAAAACCAGGAGGCACATCAAAACTCTAAGCCTGCCCTTCAGAGCAGCCAAAGAGCCATCACCTGGGGAGGGTGCACCCTCGGGAGCCCTGCCCTGCTGAGGCCCGGGAAAGGAAGGGGCGCGGGTTCGCAGAAGTGTCCTTGAGTTCCTTAAAGAGGACACAGGAATCTACATTTTATTTTCCAGTGTCATCATTGGTTAGCCTCAAGGCCATACTTGAACACTTTCAGAGAAAAGACTAAGAAAAGTCAAAGTTAATTTGCCCCAAAGTTTTTTCACACCATTCACAGCCCCATCCTCCTCGCAGGAAGGAGGACCCAAGGTGAAGGCTGGGCCACGGCTGTCTTAGAAAAAGCTCTAAAGTGAGGAGACTTAAAAAGAGCTGTTGATAGACTCAGGGCTGTAAGCCAACACGCTTCGATGTCCACTGAGGCCAGAGGGAGATGCCCTATGAAGTGACATCTGGCAGATGACACTCTGACCCAAGGGACAGAGGGTCCCCCCAGAACAGGTGGCCCGAGGAGGAGTGGTGGCACGCCCATCCCAGATGGCTTTCAGAAGCAGAAAAAGTACCACAGGGATAGGTGCATATACTTACTCCTGCTTGGATACAGGGGAGGGACTAGATGGTCTATTGGAAGGATTCCAGGAGCTGGGCCAGACCCCTGGAGGGGAGCCGCTTCCTGGGGCCTCTCCCATTGGCAAGGCGACTCTGGCAGCCTGGGGTCACAGGTGTCCCTGAAGGCAGTTTGCTGGCCCGCCAGGCCAGAGCAGGCCCTGAAGGAAACACTCACCTCTCTTCCATGCACTGGTCAGCACCCAGCCCCCTCCCCCGCTCCCCTCACTTCATCTGGTTACAATCTTGATTGGGGAAGTGGGGAGGGAGTATGGCCTGCACCCCCCCGCCCCGAATGCCCCCAGCCTTTCAATGGCAACCATCTCCTGCCCTCTCCCCCATCCCAGTGGTCAAATGCTTTTTGAGAATGAGGGTGCTTCAAGTGATTGCACACAGAGGCTGAGTGAAAAGTCTTGAGTCACTCCGGAAGGTGGGCTCAGCAACGGGTCCATGCCGCGGTTAGGTTTTCCTCCCGTCACCGCCTTTCCCCCAGACCTTGGGTTTGGATGTGAGTTACTAGATAACAGAGCCCTAGCTTTGCAACTTGCACAGAGTCCCCCAAACCAGCTATGCTTGTCCCTGCATCCCACTCCCGTTCTAGCTCATCACACAACCAAGAAAAGTAGGTTTACCGCAAAGCATCACTCTATTAGCTAATTCCTAGAAGGCTACATTCCACTGTCCAGGCACATCCCGTGTTGATGAGTCAGCACAGCAGGTTTTGATAAGTAGAGCCGGAACACGGAGTCAAGTCACGGTGGGAGAACAGAGAAAGGCCAAAAGGAGAGGACAGGCATCCTGGTGTTGAACCAGGTTCAGGGAGAGCCTGCCTCTGTCTTTGCTCTTTGCTTACTCCCTGTCTTCTTCCTCTCAAGTGACTACATCCCTTCCTCTCCTGTGGATAAATAACCCAAATCAGCTAACCACCCAGCACCCTGCAAACCTGTGGGGCCTTCTTCGGGGCTGGGAACTTCCCTGCCAGGGCCTTAACGACTGGATACCTGTTCAATTAAAAGCGACAAATCCTGAGCCAAGGGACAAATAGGTGCTTGAGTGTTTCCTGCCACCTGCCATCCCCACCGAGTTTGGCCAGGTCTCCAAATGCCTTTCTTAACACACACCTGTAACTTCTCCTGGGCCGAAAACTCCTGCCCTGGGGACACAAAACAGAGTCTCCCCACCCAGCTTCCCTCTCCCTGCAACCCCCACCCTCACCTGCTCAGATTCTTCTTCTATTTCCCATCACAATACCTTGCTCCTGGGTAGCCCAGTGATAGCAAAATGGGCAGAGAACAGGCTTTTCCGGCACCCCATTTAAGTTATTTGGGGTCTCCTCAAAGCCCTGTTTTCTTTTTCTAGAATTTGAATAAAAAAGAGAGCAATGCAGACAGGGCCTTCCTGCCCCAATTCGTGCACCTGAACTCCCTGTGGACATCCTGGCCACACCCTGCCCCCAGGGAAGGGCAGTCCAGACCTCCGGGATCTGGGCCTGCAAAGGCGGGTGGGGTCAAGGAACTGAGAGGAGGAACAATGGCCCAGAAGAGAATGCCTGTGAGATAAGAAATAAATGGAAATCTGTGGATCAAGAAAAGGCTGGGCGGGTAGAATTAACAGATCAACAAATAAATGAACAAAGCCCTACTTTTTTAAAGGTCATAAGGCAGCTAAGTATAGACTGTCACCGAGTCAGGCCTATATATAACTGCGCCGGTCCAAGCCAGCTGTTGGCCTCTCCTGGCCTGGAGCTGTGTTATGTTGCATCCTATCCCGGGCCGGAACACAGAGCCAACTCTGAGCCAGAGCAGGGAGTGAGGCCTTGGGGTTCCTTATCCCCCCCGACCTGCCGGCACCGTTCCCCTCCAAACCCCACATCCCTGGCTTCCCACGTCCCCTCCTGTTCTTCATGATGGTTCTCCCCACCCTGCTGAACTAGACCCCCCAGGGCTCCCCAAGCCCCCTAGTTCCCTAAATCCAAATATATCTCAACTCCAAGAGTTTCTCTCTTTTTTTAAGATTTTATTTAGAGAGGGGGGAAGGGAGGGAGAAAAAGAGGAAGAGAAACATCAACATGTGGTTGCCTCTCAAACGCCCCCTACTGGGGACCTGGCCTGCAACCCAGGTATGTGCCCTGATGCAATCAAACCCGGGACCTTTTGGTTCACAGGCCGGGGCTCAATCCACTTTGGTTCACAGGCTGGGGCTCAAGCCACACCAGCCAGGGCTTGACTTGGACTTTCTTGTCCACACCCTGCCTGTGTCCTCCTTTCCTCTGAGAGCAAAAATCTCCAGGTTGTGTTCTTACGTCAAAGCCTCACCTCCAGCCACTGTTTAGCCGGCCCCAATAAGCAAGCCCTCGACCAGGCCCGAGCCCTCCCAAAGGCCACTTCCCTCCTCCTTCCCCTTTCCTGCCCACAGAATGTCCTCTCCTTCCTGTCAAACTTCCCTTATCAGTTTGACCTTCTCAACAACCCCCCACCCCCAACTCCATGAAGTCTTCCTAGATTCCCTCTGCAGGACCCCAGTCCTTCTAGCAACTTCCCACCAGTTCTTGAGTGTTGACTCAGGCCCTGGTTCTTATTTCAGCTCCGGGAGGGCAGAGACCCGGTCTCTGCACCTCCACCTCAGCCTGGGGCTCCGCGCATTTGCGTCTCAGCCGCAGAGGCTCACCCTCTGCTTCCTTCTCCCCGCAGAACGAGACTCCCAGGAGCACGAGGACCCAACCACCTCTGAGATGGCAGAGGAGACCTACTCCCCCAAGATCTTCCGGCCCAAGCACACTCGCATCTCCGAGCTGAAGGCTGAGGCCGTGAAGAAGGACCGCAGAAAGAAGCTGACCCAGTCCAAGTTTGTGGGGGGAGCTGAGAACACTGCCCACCCCCGGGTCATCTCCGCACCTGAGATGAGACAGGAATCTGAACAGGTGAGTCTCTAGGATTCTCCTCTACCTCCCTCTGCACCCACACCTTGCGGCCTCTGCTGGTGCCCTGACTTGCATCTAAATTTGCATTTGTGGCAGCAGGAGGTGCTTAGGCTAGACCTAGTGAAGGACCTGCCACTTGCCGTGGGGAGTTTTTAGAGCCTGCAGTTATCAGGACTGAGGGCTGGTCTGAGTAGCAGGAGTAGAGGCAGTACTCAAGGGAAGTGCCAGCCAGCCACAGGCAGCACACAAGCAAACAAACCCCAGCTGCGTGAACGACCCGGAGCTGCGTCCTCCCTTAGGCAGGCGCCGAGCATTCTCCCAGAGCAGCGATTTTCAGCCTTTTTCATCTCATGGCACACATAAACTAATTATTAAAATTTTGTGGCACAACAAAAAAAACATGGTTTTGTTCTATCTGACCCCCCCAAAAAAATAGGTATAATCTCAATTCATTCATACCGAACTGCTATTGTGTAAGCTGTTGTCACTTTTTTATTTGACAGTCTAAGGGAAAAGAGGTCAGTGTCCATGACTAAATAGGCAGGTTTTGCATGTTTTAAAAATTATTGTGCACACCAGTTGAAAATCGCTGTCCTCGAGCACCCACAGATGACCACCTCGAGTCGTAACTACTCAGCAGCATGGCAAAGTTGATGGATTATATGGAAACGGATGGGACAGGGTGCCTCTGTACCTGGTCAAAATGTAGGTTTTGCACACTTTAAACATCCAGGTTGCATAACAGGTGAGAAGGAGGAAAGGTTTTTGGTAGCAATTCATTGGAACAAAAGGTGGCGGCTTTGCCTGGACCCTTGAATCCCCGCAGCCCAGGCCATGCGTTCTGCACAGGTAGGTGGCGTCCACCTGGATCCGGCCATGCCTCTCATCCCTCCTGTCCACACACAGGGCCCCTGCCGCAGACACATGGAGGCTTCCCTGCAGGAGCTCAAGGCCAGCCCTCGCATGGTGCCTCGTGCCGTGTACCTGCCCAACTGCGACCGCAAAGGGTTCTACAAGAGAAAGCAGGTATGCCCTCGTGCCGTGCCCCCAAGGTCAAAGGAAAACCTGTACCAGGAAAACTCCCCCGCTAAATGCCTAAAATTTCTGTCATTAACAATAGTGTTTTTTGAACCCCAGATACCTGTACCACCATTGTGATTATTCCCATTCCTACCTGTACTATGATCTACATAAGTTTTAATGATTCACCTTATTTACATGAATTTTGAAACTTTACATCACTTTTTCACACCATATGTTGTATGTGGTTTTTTCCTGACACACACACATAAATACACACACTCATAAATATACACACATATATGTATTTAAAACATATTTCCACCATGTACCACCTGAAATCATGCGAGGTCCCCTTCACACCCAGGCTTCCTTCTGAGCAGCCCCACTATGGGTAAACCAATGGCACTTAGCTAAGCTATTAAACTGGGTCTGCATTGCCTCCAGGCACTGGTTCTCAGCCTTCCTGGGGCATCAGAATCACCCAGCAGGCTTGTTAAAACACTAATTACTGTCCCTACCCATTCCCCAGGGTGCCTGATTGGTGAGTATGGATAGACTCTGAGAATTTTGCTTCTCTAACAAGTTCCTTCCCCTGTGACCCTGAGGCTCCATTAAGGGTACCCTCATCTAAGTTAGAGGTCAAGAGCCAGAGGGCCGTGCGTCAATTCTTGGCTCTCCCGTTTACTGGCTGTGTCCTCCCACCCCAGATGTTCAATGCCTCTGCCTCCAGTTTCTCATGTAAAACGTAGAATAGTTATACTTATTATTTTCACACAATTATGAAGAATAATGGGTTAATCTCTGTAAAGCACTTAGAAGAGTACCTACGATACAGTAAGTATTAATTAGCGGTGCTGGTACATGACATAAAGCTGCAGAAATGATGCCTCCTATTATTATTATTATCAGATGATCAGATCATGGAGCTCTCTGGAGAATACCAAGTTGGAAGATCCTGAATGGGGGGCATAAAACAGAGGTTAGGGGAGGTAGCCAAGGGCAGACCGCCTAACTTATCATTTTCCCCAGGACCTCCCTGTGCTGTGGGGACACCAGAATTCCAAAGGTTGGGTACAGCCCCCTCAACTCTCTGGGGGTGAGAGTCTGCCTTGGGGCAGGAAAACGAAGGGCCAGGCAAGAGCAGAGCCTCCTCAGGTCACAGTCGTCCTCACTGTCTGTCTCTCTCCCCACCACAGTGCAAGCCTTCCCGTGGCCGCAAACGTGGCATCTGCTGGTGCGTGGACAAGTACGGGATGAAGCTGCCCAGCATGGAGTATGTCGACGGGGACTTTCAGTGCCACACCTTCGACAGCAGCAACGTTGAGTGATGCGTCCCCTCCCCATCCTTCCCTCACCCCATCCCACCCCCAGCCCCAACTCCAGCCAGTGCCTCCCTCCACCCTAGGACGCCACTCATTTCATCTCATTTAAGGGAAAAAAAATACATATATCTATCTAATTGAGGAAACTGAGGACCTCGGAATCTCTAGCAAGGTCTCAACTTTGAAAACGGCAACAGCGGAGATGAAAAAAGCTAAGGAGACCCCCCCACCCCTTTAAATGGTTTTCTTTCTGAGGCAAGTTGAATGAACAGGGAAGGGAAGAGAGGAAGAATAAGAAGAAAGGAAGGGAAGAAGAATATGTGTACAAGAGAGGGAAAGATGAACAGAGTCAGGAAAAAAGGAGGAGGCATGTGGGCAGGAAAGACAGACCAAGGCGCCGTGGCAGGATTCACCTTTCACTTGCAGTCCCGGCCCGAGCTGGGGAGATGTTTGCGCACTAGGAGTTGTGGCCCAAGATGTAGTTGATGACACACTTGGAGCCTTCCCAGTTTAGATTGGTCACAGGGGGAGAAAGGCAAAGACAAAAAGGTGTCAGCGCCTCTCCTGGGTCTGTCTCCTTCTCCAGCCAGCAATGTGGGCGACTCGAACCCTCCTTCCTCTGCTCACCCCAGTAGAGTGTTCTCTCCCCCCAAATTTGTAAACACTAAATGCATTCCATTCCTCTCAAAACAAAGCAAATGAATAACCGAGGGATATTAGATAGATAGGTTTTCCTAAGCGGACACATAAATAGTAAGCGTGTGTTCATATTTCCCTGTGCGAACTTTTAGAAATTAACACGCACCCCAACAGTAGGAGGACTCGCTCCTCCAGGGTGACTAAAACTACATGCAGAAGCATGTGGTTTAAGCCCCTCAATGCATTTGATTCACAACTAGCACAGCCCTCTGTGGGGGAGGATAGGCTGAAAAAAAAAATGCGGGCTTGTATTTATCTACAAGGCTCCATGTAGTCATATATAGGCATATAAATCTATTTTTTTCTTTTTTTTTTCCTTCCTTCCTTCCTTTCAAAGGTTTGCATTAACTTTCTAAAGTAGTTCCTATGGGGGCATTGAGGAGCTTCCTCATTCTGGGAAAACCAAGAAAATTCATATTCTCCTAACACAACCCATAACACCAGTTCTGCCTGCTCCCATAAGTAGCAGACTCAACCCTTTGTGGGACACAGTGTTGGATTTTTTCATGATTTCCCACATGCACACGTGTTCCCACGCACCACCCAGCCGGGTGGCTGAGAGCACTCGGTGCGCACCCGCCATGCTCCCCAGCACGTCCCTGCAGACCCTCCGGAAGTAACCATCCCCGGAGCCCACGCTGAGCAAGCCTGTAAGGCCCAGGTTTCACCTATTGGTCCCGCCCAGCCTTTCAAAGTCCTGTGGGCAGAGCCTGCGTTTTGAAAGCCTCTCTCACTCTTCACGCTGGCAGAGCAGGAGAGAGACTGAACTGAGAGGTAGGGGGAGGCAGATGGAGGTGAAGAGGTTTCAGTACCGGGGGGCAGTAAAGGTGATTGTTCAGGCCAGAGAGATGGAGGAAGGCAACAGAGGGCCAGGAGGACATGGGGCTAACAGCCCCATCCTAGCTTTGAAGCAAAGCAACAAAAAGGGGGACAGAGCCATGGGACACATCCATGGCTTCCCACCCAATAACCCCTCTGGGATTCAAGAGGAAGTAGAGAGGAAAATGGGGGGACAGGCTGTAAAAGAGAAATGAACTAACGCCAGGCCTTAGAGCCAGGGAAGATGGGTCACCTTAGGAGGGCTCTAGACTTAGCAGCTAAACCGGAGTGAAGATCCGTAGATTGGCCAGGTTTTGAAGGGACAAGACTTTGTGCTCAGGTGCCCATCTTCCTCCTGCGGTGAGGAGCTGAGGCCAGAGCATCTTTTAAGCTCTTCATTCACTCTGGCCAGTTCAGGCTTCCTCCCTGGGGTGGAGGTTGGAAGAAAGGCCCAGGCCAGCCAGGGAATGGGTGCTCAGGAGTGCTGTTCTTTGGCAGCCTCACTTTGACCGAAGGACACTCCCCTTCTCCACCGACTTCCTCAGCAAATGGGTGGCTTTGGAGCTGCCCCCTGAGGCTGGAGATAGCCTGCCAGGAAAGGGGGCTTGAACACTGGCAAGGAGACCCCTTCTCACCGTGAACCCAGCTCTCTCCACTCTCTCCTGATGGCATGACACCGTGGAGACCACTCCACCACTGAATTGGGGGCAATGAAGAGGGACAGCAAAGAAGCAAATCTGTGCCAGCTAGCAGAAAACTTGCAGCTGTGGAACCTGGGGGATGTCTCCTACTCCCCTGGACAGGACAGTTGGCTGGGGATGGGAGAGGTGGGAGATCTTCACAGGACAGGGCCTGACGGGAATGGCAGCCACAAGGACTTACCTGGCCTGCTGTGTCAGCGCACCCCATCTCTCTGTGCGACTGTCCCCAGACCCCCAACTCACATTTCAATGCCGTAGGCCAGTATCCTGAACCTTCCCCACTTCCTTCTTTCTGCCCATCCTTCCTTTGGATCTTGAGCAGTCATCTAACTGGGATCTGCCAAGTGGATACTGGGGTGCCATTCCCCCTAAGAAAAGACTGAGCCAGGAACTGCATACCCCATCCCCACCCCTCCCCAGGCCTGGACCTGGTTCCTGAGAGGGGATATCCCCCCACCGATGTTTACTGGACTTTGCATGGGCCTCTGCCCCTGACGCCGACTCCTTGCTGTCAGCCACGCGGTGGGGATCATGGCCTGTTTAACTCCACCAGTCTCTTTAGATTTCCAAAGCTCATGACGACTAATCCACACCTGTGAGTCTCCAGGGTTTGCAGGGGGTGATTCGGGTCACCTGGCCAATCCCTAGAGGACACTGGGCCTTCATGACAGGTGGAACTAAACCTCTCCAAGGGGAGGTCTGGCCTGAGCCCAGAGTGGAGAGACCACGGGGACAGAGTCACTGGGGGCGATGGAGCCCGAGCCCTGGGCAGGGTGGGAGGGAAGGCAGGGTGGGGCGCTGCCAGCTGTGAAGTCCTGGGCAGCGTCCCCTGGATGCCAGGCTGCCCATTGGCCACTGACTGCTCACCTAGAGACCTTAGGCTCCAGCTTTTCTGTGGCCTCACGTCTAAATGCTGCCCTGCCCCTGCAACAGGAGATCTCTCCCCATCTCCCTTTTGACTCCTGCCTCACGCCAGCAGTATAGACCGCACCTGCTGCCCAGTGATGGAGGGAGACCCAGCCAGGACTGATCCTCCTCCCCCAGAGCTGCCCTACCCCGCCTGGCAAGACAGGGCATCTGGGGAGGAAGAGAATTAAAAGTTTCTCAGACAGCCAGGCCTGGACAGGCAGGCCTGGGGACATTCAACCCTCACACGGGGGAGGAAGGGAGGCCCAGGAGGCCCTGTAGGTTCCCACCTCCTCTCCCCCTGCCCATTTCCCCATCACCACCTTGGTGGTCTCCAAGGTAACCCTGCAGGGTCAGCCTCCTCTGGGGTCCGGGAGAGATGGGCCTCAACCTCCCTCCTCCCACCATCTAGCTCTCTCGCAGCCACTAGGCTGCCATGGCAACCGCCGGGCCCCTTGGGAGTGGGCACTGCTCTCCCTCTCCATACGCTCAGCTGCCTAGAGGGCTCCAGCTCAGAATGGGAACCTAGAGAGGAGTGGGCCAAGAAGAAGCAACAACCCTCTGGTCTCACAGAGGACAATTTGGGCTTCCAAGAAAAAGGAGGCTACATTTTAAGAAGTGGTGGGACAAGGGAATGGGGTTTTACCTGCCAGCAACCTGGGCGTTGTACTGTCTTTATTTTTGAAACCACTAAAGTGCAAGACACGTTTTGCACTTTTCTCCACTTTTTTTTCCTCTTAGGTTTTTGTGTCTTTTTTTAAACATACTTTCTTGGTTTTCTCGTGGAGCATATAGTTTAGCCATCTCCACAGACTCTGGCCTCCTCTCTTTAACTCCTTCTGGGTGGGGAAAGGGAGGTGGGAGGGCCACCGCCCCGCGCCCGTTCCCCCGCTTCTCTGGTCCCCGGACACCAGCCTGAGTCCCACCTTCCGCCACCACTGCCGTCACACAGTAGCCCACACGGATAGACAGTTGTCAGACAAGATCCTTCAGATTCCGAGTTGCCTACCGGTTTGTGTTTTTGGTTTTGTTTTTTCTTTTTTTTTTTTTTTTAAGACAGCAATAACCACAGCACATATTACTGTAGTTCTTGATAGTTTTACGTACATACATACCATAGCTCTATTTTCTCCTCTTTTTTGTTTTCAACTTTTTTAAAGAAAATAAATGCTCATAATCTTTACTGGTGAAAAGGATGGATAAACAAACCAACAAACAAAATCAGTTTGTGGTGGAAAAAAAAAATGCGGGGGAAAAAAAAATCATCTGAATGCGGAAGAACTCGCCTCCTGTTTAGCATTTTGTACCTAAGGAAATAAAAACGAAAAAAAAAACCACCAGAGGATCTCACGTTTTATTAAAAAGGTGAAGATTGCTGTATACTATTTATTCAACTTATAATTTATGTTACTCCTTGATCTTTGTCTTTTGTCATGACAAAGCATTTATTTAATAAAGTTATGCATTCAGTTAGCCTGCGTCAGCTTCCTCCGGGACCCAGGACTCTCCTCAGGCCATGCTCCCGAGGGAAGGACAAAGGACCAGGTGGAGGCAGGACCCTGGGGATGCCCCAGCCCCGCCCTCCCCTCCAGAACTTGGGTGTCCCCTTCTCCATCCCTTCAGAACTGTTTCAATGAGTTCATGTACACCATGCACTTAGAACAGCGAGTAGTCAATGCATGTTCAGCTACTGTTATTAATGTTATATTATCATTTAATCTCAGCCCTTGCTATTAAATAAAGTGGCCTTAATCTATCCTTAAGCAAATGATGGGTCTCTTCTCTCTGGAGAGGATTTTAAGGAGAGCATTTCTAGCATGTTCCTCAGTCACTTACTCCTGGGAACCTCTGGCCAGGCAAACCCTACCTCCTGCCCCTACCCAGCCCCACTGCTGTTTCTGCCCAGTGAGGAGGGAAGCAATGGAATAGCTAGTGACTCTGGTTTCAACCTTTCAGGGGCTTAAGAGCCTGGTTCCCACATTGTCCTTTCTGCCCCAGTCACCCTGCTGCAGTTCCTCCTGGACCCCTTCCCTTGGGCTTCTCTCCCAATCCCCATGTCCACTCTTCCTTTGCAGATCCCACAGCAACACACTGTCCTTCCTGTGTCCCTGTGACCTCACCTTACAAGGTCCTCCCAGTCTGCAGGCACAGCAGGGAGACAGAGTTGGTGGCATCTCCACGCTGACCACCCTGAATGCTTTCTTTGCCCTGTCCCCTGCGAGTCACTTGTCAAGTGGACAAATTGGGAATGGCTCTGCCTGCCCAGGGGGCGGGCCACTGGGCACACTCCCTCTGAAGGGTCACTGGGTCATTGAAACTTCCTTACGACCGCTCCGCCTGTGCGCAGCTTTGCAAACGTGCAGTATTACACAGTGAAGACAAAAGTGGAGGATGTGAAAGCTTTGCTAGGAGGCGCAGAGGGGGACTGGGGCCCTTGCCTGCTTCACTTTGCAGGGGTGGGGTTGCCGGGGAGCAGGAAGAGTGCCGTGCAGGAAGGCTCTGTTGGGCTGCAGGACGCCGCCTGCCCTGGGACCGCCTCCTGGCCTCTCCACAGCAGAGGCTCACGCTGCGTCAGCAACATTCTGCCTGAAGGGGGTGTGAGCAGGACGCTCCTCAACTGCTGCTCTTCCTTCAGGGCTCACATGCCCCCACCCCCACCCCATGCTCCACGCCTCCCCCGGTTCTCCTCCCTCCCGTGACATCCCTCGTCTAGGAACTTCTAGGATTCCAGCTCCACCCTCGCCCCACCCCACCCTGGACAACCCACAGAGCACCTCAGTGATCACACATTCACCTGCGGTCTTTGTCATCCAGTAAGACCGGCTGGAGTTTTACATGTGTAATGGACACTTTTAGAAACACTACTCTTTTACGCTGCTCAACTCTACCAAGTCTCCCCTTCATCCACCGAAGCCACACTCTGAGCCTCGGGACCTAAAGTTTCCTCAGGGACAATCTGAAAAGCCCACTCCCCTATTCCATCCACAGTCTACTATTCCAGTGAGAGGAATGGGGGGAGAGGCAGAAGCATAATCATTTTGCTTAAGGGACAATGGAGTCTTTGGTCTCCGCACTCTGGTTTTTGATCCGTCAACCCTCTCTGACCCTCCTTCCTTTCCTGAGGCCAGAGCCCATGGCTCCACTGACAGCTGCCACCTATCTGGGTCTCACTTGCCCTGGATACATCTCGCCAGCCAACCTTGTCACCCCTGCACAGCCGTGCTGAGCCCTGATAAGAAAGTCGTCCCACGGTCTTGTGAGCTGACACCACCACAGGACCTGAGCGTCAGATCCTGCCTGGGGAGCCTTCCAGGGACCCCTGCCTGGATTGTCTCCCTCCCATGCGCTCCTCAGGTCCACAGCACACTGGCGTGCGTCTCCTCATACCATCCTCTCCCTCTCAGAGGAAACCAAGACCCGCCTGTGAGACCACTCCCCTCCCGTCCCAAATCCTACAGACCATCATGGTCTCCTCTCCTTCCCCATCAGTCCCCCTTTTTCCAAGGACAGCCTCCTTCCTTTGCTCCCCCCACCTGCTGCTCCCCCACCTCCTCCATCAACTGTCCCCTCTCTCGCTCTACAGGTGGCAAAGGAGAGGGAGAGAAGGGGGTGGAGATGAACAATGTCCTGATGAGACTCATTCATCTATTGGATGTTGGGATGAGGAGGAAGGGAAAGTCAAGGATGTCTTCTCCACCCAGAATCCCCCAGGCAATGCAAATCTAACAGATCCAAACTGAGCTCATCCTTTATGCTCAGGTACTTTGCTTGTGTATCATTGTATCTTATCCCTTACAGTGCACATTCAACAACAAACAGAAATTTGAGCTCCTCTTTCCCCTAAACCATCCCTCCTTTGTCTCCCTTCTCCTCTTCCTCCCCCCCCCCCCCCGCACTTCATCCTCCTCCTCTATTTGCGGCCTCAGAGACAGGCACCCGCCAACCATCCAATCACCCCAGCCTGACCCTCAGCCATCATTCTTTTTAAAAGCATTTTTAGCTCTGGCTGGTGTGGCTCAGTGAACTGAGTGCAGGCCTGCAAACCGAAGGGTTGCCAGTTCAATTTCCAGCCAGGGCACATGTCTGCATTGTGGGCTAGGTCCCCAGTTGGGGGCATGCAAGATGCAACCACACATTAATGCTTCTCTCCCTGCTTTTGTCCCTTTCTAAAAATACATAAATAAAATCTTTTAAAAAATAAAAGCATTTTTAATTTACATTTATTGATTTTAGAGAGAAAGAAGAAGAAAGGGGGAGAAAGAAACAGGCAAACATGGGCTTGTTGTTTCACTGATTTATGCACTCAGTGGTCGATTCTTGTATGTGCCCTGATGGGGGATTGAACCTACAGCCTTGGTGTAGCTGGATGACACTCTACCCATCTGAGACCCAGCCAGGGGTGTCCCAGCCATCATTCTTGCCTTCGTTTACCCCCCACATCCAGTAAGTCCCAGGACTACGCTAGCTCAGTGACAACTCTCAAAGGCAACCCCTCCCTCCACCTCCCCTGCCTAGTTCAGATCACACTCACTTCTCACCTGGGTCACTGCAACTTCCTCCCGCCGGGATCTTCTGCCAGTTCCCGTTCTGTGTCTTGTCTTCCAAGCGAGATATCTCAACTGGAGTTTACCTTCTTTCCTCTTCTCTTCTTTTTCTTTTTCCATCAGCAATAATCGTGCTTTGGATAAACCTCAGTGGCAATAATACTGCCAAAGCTGCAGTTCACTTTCTAAAAATATAGATCCAGTCATGCCCATCCTCTGCCTAAACTCCTTCCTTGGCTCTTCAGAGCTTTTGGTCCCAAATTGAAACTCCTCAGGAAGATATCTCGGTCCTTCCTGGTGAGCTTTCCTCTGGCTCCCTCTCTAGCCACTCCTCTACCTGTACCTTGCCTTTACCACAGGTATGTCTCTGTGTTCATGGCTTACATGATTCCCTCTGTCTAAACTCTCTCTCACACACACACACACACTCTACTCCTTTCCCTGAATTCTTACGTCCTCCTTACAACTCTGTCTCTGAGGCATAGCTAGTCTTGCTACCTGCACCTGGGCACACTTCCTGTGGTCATCATGGAGTTACACGGCTTTTCCCTCCTCTAGAATGTCAGCCCTTCAGGACAGGGACCATAATCTTTTTTAACATCATATCCTAAAACCCTAAGTCTAGGATACACTACTAACTACGTTTAGGCAACACTTAGTGTATGACAGAAGTTATTTTATATTCTTAAAGCAATTCTTTGAGACAGAAAGGATCCCAACATTTAAAGATGAAATAAGTGAGGTTCCCAGGTTAGAAAAGTGTCCAAACTCACATAAGCCATAAGTAGGAGAGCCCAAATTCTGTTCCAAGACTATCTCCCCTCCAAGCCGATGCTCTCAACTACCACATCATATGTAGCTAATATTCAACACACATTGGGCAGATGTGGTCGCAATGGGGAAGTCTCCGAAACTAGGCAGCACAAGCAGGGGCCAGCTACGTGGGCGGGCCCAGGGCCCGAGCTTCACCGAACGCTCTGCTGTTGCTGTCTTGGAATTCTTCACAATTTCTGAACAAGGGACTCTGGATTTTCATTTTACCCTGAATCCTACAAATGAGGTCACCTAGAAATCAGGGGATTCTACAAATTATAACCACCCAGGAGGCAGGTTTTAATGCATATTTCCAGGTCCCTTCCTAAGGTTCTTGTCCTGGTATAATAGGCCCTATAATTCCCCAATTTAAAATTCCCCAAGTTTAATAAGCGTTCCCAGATGACTCATTCTGGACCCCTGGGACCACCTCAGGCAAAATAGGCTCAGAGGCCGCGGAAGCTCAGCTGCAGTTTCCCGTGCTGCCACACGGGGGCAGTATAACCCCAGTGTCTGTCAACCGTCAGGTTTTAAACTTTAACAAGGTAGTTCCACAAGGCGCGCAATAGGCTTAACATCTCCAAGATCCCTTGCCCAATCTTGCTACATGGGTGCGATTATGTTTTTCCTCAGCAAAGGCTTCTGGTCATTTATACATCAGTGTGACTCCTGTAGTCAGAGCCACAGCGGCAATGCTCCTCACACACCCGTACAGTCCACCTCTGCCCAGGGTTCAGAGCACGTGCAAGAAGACCAGGCGAGCGACATGGAACCGGGCAGGGAGAGGGAGGTGTCCTCAGGAGCAGTCTACAAACACGTTCCAGAAATGGCCCGAGCAAGCTGGCAACCATGGGGTGTGGGGGGCTGGCATGAGGGCTGACTCCAGCAATAACCCATGACAATCCCTCCCATTTCACACAGCCCTCTAGTTGACAAAGTACGTTCATATCTACCACCTCACACTGATACCACCGTTATTTGAGGCTGAAATCATCCCCATTAGACAGAGGAGGAAAACCGAGGCTCAGAGAAGGCAGGGCTCCAGAGTACCGGCGTAGTAAGTGATGAGACTGGATTCAAACCCAGGCCTCCTGACTCCAGCACCCTTCCTGCCTCCTCCCTGGCTCTGTATTAAAATCACCTGGGAAACCTTTAACAAATAACACCCCGTCTGGGCTCCACTCTAGACCAATCAGATCAGAGTCTTTAAAGGGGAGGCAAGGGACAAGGGTGTATTTTTTTAGTGCCCTGTCATTCAATCAAATGTTAGCTCAGGCTAAGCGCTGCACTTCCCGGGAGAGCCAGCAGGGGCTGCCCCACCCCAGGACAGCGGCGGACGACGGCTGAGCGGGCAGGAGAGGGTGGCCGAGCACCACGCAGTGGATAAAAAAGAATCAAGATCCACCCCGGGGTCCCAGGCACTGTGGCCTCGCCACTCATCCCACAGGGAGAGCGTACCTCAAAGCCAATCAGCACCCGCACTTGGAGGTGAGGGGCTTCCAGGCACTGGCTCGAGGTTGGGCACAGCTATAGAGACCTTTTCCTCATCGCTAAAGTGGAGCGGGTAGCAGCGCCTCCTTTGTGGACTCATGAAGATTAACTGAATTAATGTGCTTCCCGGGGGGCCAGCCACTAGCTAAGGGACCGCTGGCAGACAGGGATCCGGTTTTCTTCTACTCCCAGGAGAGAAGCTCCGTTCATCCAGGTAAGGGCCCGCGTGCCCTGTGGCAGGAAGGATTCAGACTCCTGACACAGAAGACGGGGTATCTCGAGAGGCGCGGCTCTGCACCTCCGGTTGGGGAGGGAAAGACAGCGGACAGTGGGCCTTCCCTCCCCCACGGCCCATCGCAAACTCAGGAGCCCCCTGCAATTCACCAGGGGTTGAGGCCCCAGCAGAACACAGTGGGCAGAGCTCTTGCACGGAATCCTGCTTCAGAAATAGGACTCGCATCTGTGCCTCGCCATCCCTGTAATATTTGCTGTTCAGGGTCCAGCGACTTGGGCTCCGCAGAGCATGCCCCTGAATTCTGAGGCAGCACCTTGGTGAACACACTGGCCCACAGCCGTCCACTCCCTTTCCTTGGGGGCTGAATGAATGTCTCCCCACACAGAAGGAAGCTGTTTTATTTCAGGGGCCAGAGGCCCCAATTCCAGTGTTTCTCCCTTTGGAGAATCATCTGAATATGGGTGGGAGGAAGACAGGCACCCCCCACCCACCCCCATCCTCCTGTCCGCACCCACCTCAGGAGGTGGGGACAGGGCCCTGTCTAGAGGTCCAGGCAGGAGACACTCTGTCCTGAGGCTGTGAGGGAAGGTCCCACCTGGATTGGGGACTTGGGTTCCCACAGGCCAAGGCCACTAGAGGGAGGAGATCTGTCTCCCTCCTGCCCCGCCCACCTCTTTCCCATCTCACAATGGGAAGCTGAGGCTATGCTTTTCCTGCTTCCCGGTCGTCGGAGGAACCCCAAAGATGCAGGCAAAAGACACATGCTTTATTTTTCCTTTCTTTAATTTTAAGCAAAAGAGACACAGGGGTTTAAAAATAAAAATTTCTTTTTCCCCCTCCCGAACCTGGAGCCCAGCCCTGCCTCTGCAGGCACCCCTTCCTCCCAGCAGGGACTCGAGAAGGGGGTGCAGCCTCTCCCGCGGGGAGGGGCAAGGCGGCGGGTGTGCGGAGCTCGGTGCTGGTCTCTTTCCAAATATAAATACATGTGTCAAAACTCCTGGGAAATCCTCCCCCGCCCACCACCCAAGCTCTCTCCTCTCTCTGCCCGTGTTTGGAGAGGTGGTGGCGGGGTGCCAGGCACCGGCCGGCTGTGGTCTACTGCATCCGCTCATTGTAGAAGCGATGGCACTCCGGGTCCCCACGGACTGTAGGGGATCCCTGCAGCAGCTTCCCGGTGTTGGGGTTCACACACCAGCACTCCCCACGCTGCCCATTCACAGCCATCTTGCACTGAAGAGAGAGAAGAGACCATGGAGGCCACCCTGCAGCCACCAGCTTTCGTTCCGCCATCAGCCCAACCGTGTACTGAGCAGCGCCTTGTGTGCGGAGCCAGGGCCGCAGGGTGGTGCTTCTCAACCTTAAATGTGCACCAGGGGATCTTGCTAAAATGCAGATTCCCATTCAGTGGGTCAGGGGTGAGCCTGAAATTAGCTAACACTGAAGCTGCTGGCCCAGGAACCACGCTCTGATACGCACGGCTGTGGAGGTGCCCAAAGATGGAAAGACTGCAGGGGGTCCCAGCCCGTGGGGACCCAGCACACTGGAGTTCAGTCCCAGTGTGAGATGAAAAATGCACGTAATGCACATAATGGTGAAAGTCAACACTAGCACAGGCGTTACTATGTGCCAGGCACCGTGCAAGCAATCTACATGCTGCTCGGTTACAATTTATATCTACCATATACTTTCATTTAATCCTCGCAACCACCTTGGGAATTCCCATTATGTCACCCCTTTATAGATGACGATTCAGGAGCACAGGGGGCTTAAGTAATTTGCCCAATGTCACACAGCTAGGAAGAGCCGCAGCTGAGATGCCCACCCAGGCGTTTCTTTCGCAGGGTCCCTGCTCTACCCGTAAATGAATGAGTCTCGCAAATGCCTGTAGTGTTACCCGTATGGTAGAGCACACAGCTTGGTTCTTTATTGTTTTTTGGTTTTTTTAAAGAAAAGATCACTATTTCTCCTTTACAGCTCCAAATAAGGTAGCTGGCTTACGTTCAGAGGGCACATGCACAAATAGCATTTAACGCTGGACTGAATGAGAGGGGCGAGGCATGCTGGGAAGAAAGTGGGGAAGAGAGACACCCCTCCCCTGCGCCAGGATCAGTAGAACCCCGTACTCCACCTCTGGGTTCCACATATCCGCCTTCGACCTCCATCCTGACTGCCCACTTAGGAGGGTTGCCAAGGGAGCTCTAAAAATCCTGGTGCCCAGCCATCGCCCAGGCTACAAACTGAAGCTTCGCAGGTGCAGCCCTGGCATCTGTGATGGTTAAAGCTGCCCAGCAGGTCCCTGTGCGCAGCCAGGGCTCAGAGCCACTGCTTGAAAACAGGATGTCCAGGGGGGCCCACACGCCTCGCCCCTTTCTCCCTGCCATGCCTTCTCTCTTCCGCTTCGTAAGCGGAAGGCACTTATATATGGTCGTTCTCCCGATACAGGGGACAAGTGGGAAGAGGTGAGAGGTGGGCTGGTCAAGAGACAAGTGACCAATATTGAACAGCCAATCATCACTACAAACTCCATGCGGCTCTATGAAAATACTGATACTGTTAAGGAGACATACCGCCTGTACACATTGATGATTAGGAGGCACTTGAACAGAGCAGAAGGGTGGAGAGACGGTTTCTGGGTGGTTTACTTACACTTCCCTATTGCTCTCTAATGGACTTACAAGGCTGTTCCATTACTGTTTCTACAACTACTAAGTGGTATTTCTCCATCCTTGAGTCTCTGTTCCCTGTGATCCTTGAAAACCAGAGCAGCTACTTGATCAATGGTTTAAATCAGTGATTCTGGAACTGTGGCCCATGGGCCATCAGCACACCCCAGGAACTTGTTGGAAATGCACACTCCTGGTGGTCTTTGGGGGTCAGGCTTGGGAATGAGCTCTGGGTGATTCTAATGCTCACTAAAGGCTGAAAAGCACTGGTTGCTGTCAGCCACATCCCTTCCCTAAGAGGCTCCCTCCCAACCTGGGCACCAACCACTACTGGAGGGTAGCTGGACAAGTAGAGTCAGCCTCTGCCAGGCTTGTGGCCAGGGAGGGAAGCCTAGCTCTCCAGTACTTGGCTCTCAGACCTGCGAGGGTTCCAGGTGGGTGGGGCAGGAACAAGGCACCCCAGAGGCCCAGGTAGATCCTCTCTCACCTGTTTGAGGTTGTACAGGCCGTTCTTGTCACAGTTGGGGATGTGCAAGGAATAGAGGTGCTCCAGGGGGCCCCGCTCATCTGGAAGGCGCATGGTGGAGATCCGCTCCAGGACCTGGTCCAATTCCTGCTGGCAGGGGGTCTACGAGAACAGACGGGCACAGAGGACACTTAGAGAATGGCCCTGGGAGCAACCCCAGAGAGAAGCTCAGCCCTGATGGTGTGGCTCAGTGGGTTGGGTGTCCTCCTGCAAACTGAAAGGTTCGCTTCATGGTCAGGGCACAGGTCTGGGTTGCGGGCCAGGTCCCTGGTTGGAGGTGTGCAAGAGGCAGCCAATCAATATTTCTCTCCCTCTCTCCCTCCCTTCTCCTCTCTCTAAAAATAAATTAATTAAAATCTTTAAAAAAAATAAATAAACGTTCATGCATGGGAAGGGACCTCCCCAAGGCCACACAGGTAGCTCGTGGAACAAGGGTCTTCTGACCCCCAGCTCAGTGAGCTCACCACCTTCTCAGTGTGCCTCACCAACCCCCAAAAGAAGGTCACATGGTTGTGAATTTTCACTCCTCTCCTTGCTGTGTTGGTGGCTTTCAGGAGTCAAGATGGAATCTACTTGCAAATACTGAATTCAAGTAGTTGTCTCTGCATAGTTCTACCCCAAGCTAGTGGCCCAACCTCCATTCCCTTCCATAAACTCAGCTGGAGCCAAGACCCAAGAGAGCACAGCTGGGCCAGAAAGAGGAGGAGCAGAAGCCAAGCGAGGGGAGTGCATCGCAGCACCAGTGAGCAAATTCAGGCGGCTCCATCTCCATCTCTAGCATCCATGTTCCAAAGCCACGCAGATATGTGGAGGTTTTAGAGGGAAAGAACTTCAAGAAACCATATGCCCAGTTCATTTTGCAGCCAAAGATACTGCGGACCCTCCAAAGACATTCTCTTCTGTTTGGCCTCCAGGTCACTGAATATGTTAAGGGCAGGACCAGGAAGTGCTTTGCCTTCATATGATTTTATAATGTGGCCTCCCCCTCACTCCACTTGTCCTCCCACCCCTCCAACTAGACCCGACCCCGTCTGACCCTGGCAGATGGCGGCCGAAGCTTCTTGGAGTCATCTGGGCTGGGTTGATGCTTGCCACCTTTGCCCATTTGGCGCTGCTGGTCAGTCACCTTCTCCCGCAACACGGCCATCTCCTTCATGCCTGACGTGAAGGCCTTCCGGCCAGCACTGCCTCCACCTCCGACGATTGTCCCGTCCCCATGGTCATCAACCTCAGAGTGGTCATCGCCATTGTCTGCGGAGAAGAAGCAAAGAAATTCCAGGGAGATGGGCCATCTGGGAACTGTCTGGGCCTCTGATAATGAGGACGACAGAGATAACTAATATCTAAGCAATTGCACTGGTGATATACAAGCCTTATCAATGTTGGCTTCACGGAAACTCTTAGGTGGCCTTATTGGGGCCCTCCCTTAAATGCCTGCATGCGATGCCTGCTCTGTTCTGCCTCCATCCCAGGAGCCGGGAGCGGAGCAGAGGAACACAGAGGAATGATCGTGCTTTCAGGCTCTCACTGTGCAATGGGGTGAAGTCCCTTCAGGGGTCCGTCATTCTCCCGAAGACCTCCCAGAGTCACCCGTCACTAACCCCCAGTTTAAGAGATTCATCATGCATGGTCTGAAAGGGCACGGACTGGGTGAAATTTTAAAACATAAAGAAGGTGGAGCTGTGTCAGGACCAGAACCTACAGTCCCAATACCTTCTGCTGTGACTCCTCCTTTTCTTGTCTGCCCTTTCTCAAGTTCCCCTGCAGCCTCTGCAGCAGTACCACTGTGACCCTGATTTGTCCCCACATCTGTGCATGGCGTGCCACTGCCAACCCTATTACACCGAGAGCCCCAAGAACAGGAACGATGACCTGCTCAACTTTGAAGTTTCATTTTACTTCAACCAAACATTCATCCAAGGAACATTCATGAAGTCTCTTTCAATATTTATTTATTTTTTAGAGAGAGGGGAAAGGAAGGAGAAAGAGAGGGAGAGAAACATCAATTGGTTGCTTCTCACACATGCCTCAGCTGGGGACTGAACCCACAACCCAGGCATGTGCCCTGGCCAGGAATCAAACCAGTGACCTTTAGCTTTGCAAGACAATGCCCAACACACCGAGCCACACTGGTCAGGGCTCTTTTGGCTTTCTTAAACCACCAAGAAGTGAGTAAGAGGAAAAGGCTCCTATTGTGTGCACAGCTCAGCGGGAGGGGGCCCTGAGAGCAGCCCCCAGCTGCCGAGGTCTCACACTGGCTCAGGCGTATCCAGACGGCAGTGAGCCAGAGGATCAGAGCAGGAACCAGAGCGACAAGTCGCCGGAACACAAGGAGGGCCGGGACTCAAACAGCCCCTTGCAAACACAGCAGAGCAAACAGGGCCTCAGACAACACTGCCCAGAGCGGCTGCCCTGCAGGCTCCGACAAGACCCGGGGGTGTAGAGGGAGTGTTTCTAAACAAATTTTGCACATTTTCTATTCCCTTTTAATGCACCTTCAGAAACGCACAGCCCCAAACACAACTTGATGGCTCTTAAAATATTCCTATACGCAAGTTTCAGGCTAAGTTCTTAGTATTTAGCGGCCCCTTCAGAAAGTAGACACGTGTGGCGGGCTCAGCTGGTCACTGTCTTGGGGGCAGTGCTGAGTATGGTGGAAAGGGCTGGCCCTTCCCTGTAAAGGACAAGGTTGTTGTGAGTGAGTAGATGCCACCACTCACAAGCTAAGGGATGGGCATGCCTCTGTGCCATGGGTAGTTGGCGCTTGATTCCAGGGGACCAGGCACTGGCATGGTGCTGGCAGTGTCCAACAGAGATTGGCTCCCATCTCTTTCCTTCGCTCAGGGCCCGATGCCTGGTCAGTGCTCATGAGCGCCAGTAGATCCCTTTTCAGGCCGGCCCGTTATCTCCCAACTAGAAGCACCAGGGAAGCAGGAACCCTTGGGTGGAATCCCAGCTCTGCCACTTTCTGTACCAGCAGTATTTCTCCTGCACAGAGCCTCTCCGTGCCTGTTTTCTTGACCATAAATTGATAGATAATAACAGTTCCTTCTTCCCAGAACTATTGCGCATGTGTTATTGATAAAGCAGTTAGGCTATGGCCTGGAACACAGCAATTCTATGTCGTGTTGGTGGTGGTGATCACTGCGACGATGGTGATGACGATGAAGAGGACAACTGCCTCCGTTCTCATTACCTAGACAACGTGGAACCCGACCAAATCCAGGAGACAGAGGAAGATCAGTCTCCAAGCATTAGAAGAGCTATCACCACGTTGTGCATCATCAATGGGGGGGGGGGGCCTCACTCACAAGACACGGGAGAACCAGCACATGGGAACCCCGACGGTTCCCAGCCACAGCACTCCCGTCAGCCTGGTTTCTGGATGTCTGGTTTCCGAGGCCACCGCAGAATAAAATCAACAAAATTAAAAGGAGAAAAAAAGAAAGGCATGTGGATAGAGGCAAGAAGTATCAAATGGCAGGGAGGAGAGAGGACACACACACACACACACACACACACACACGTTAAAAACAAAACAAAACATAAGAACTTTGGAAATATTGAGTGCATAGCAAACAATTCTGCACCCACCCATGACCCCTGAGGACTTCCACACAGCGGAGCCCCAAATGACAGCTGCGATGATGACGATGATGACCTCAGGATGTCCAAATGGGAAAAGGGTCAGCATGCCAAATAGTCAACATTTTTTTTTAATTGTTAAACTTTAGAGAAATAAAAATCAAAATATTTAAATAAGTCAGTCCTCTGAAACCTGGAAAATTTTTCTCTTTAGAATGGCTATTTCCCCAGGGGCTCTGGGTAGCCTGGGTTTTACCATAAACAAACCAAGCACAGGTTCAATCCTGTTGCAAAAGCCCCAACACCACCCACAGGGGAAGGCTGATTTGAAGCAACTGCCACCAGACTGGGCAGGACCTGTTCCATCCTGTTCAGCCAGACCCATCAGTCCATCCCAACTTTCTTCTCCCACCGTGCGATCTTCTTGTGGCTCTTTGGGGCTAAAACAGGAGAAATCCAGAGGCCCCAGGAGTCGTCCCAGTTCTTGGCTCAGCTGCCCGTCAGCACGGACACATGGAGCCTTGACTGGCTGCACAAATTTTCTCTGTCCCACCAGGTTTGCCCAGGGACACCCTCTGGGGTTGGTAAGGCAGGTGTGGCCAACCGTGAAGAAGACCCCCCTTCTCTCTTCAGATAACAGAGGTGAAGGGCAGGAGGCTGGAGGAGAGAGGCTTGGGAGAGTCTGAGGAAAAACTTGGAAAATAAATACGATGGTCTGATTCAGTAACTCTCCACATCCTTCGTATTAACCTTTGAAACATAAGCCCGTTGTTGGCACAAGTTAAGGGGCAAGGGGCGGGATCACGCCCACTCTCACCATCCCAGTTCTCCTGCCATTTCCGCCTATTCAAGCTTCTCTGCACCTGGTGCGACAGCCTCAGGCTTCCCGTCCCCGTCCCTGCAGGCCCTGGCCCAGGGATCACAGGAGGAGGATAGCAAGGTGCCTAGAAAAGTCCTTTATCCCCTCCTGCATTGGGAACCACCCAGGATCCAATGGGAACTCCCTGGCTGCCCAAACCCCTGTACCTGAAGCTGCCCTTGGCATGACCCCATCCTCACGGCACCCTGACCAGCTGGCTTCCTGCCAACAGTGGGAGAGAGAATTTCTGGAGACCTCAACAGCACGTCCAGCACTCGACACCCTGTGTTCTGCTCACATGGGAATTAGACAAGACGAGAACTCTGGGAATTGGCTGGTGCAGCACACTGCCCCCATTTCTGGAACCCTCCACTCTGCTGTCAGAAGCCTGTGACTCTAAGAAACGTACCCGTCTCGTCTCCTCTCCTCTCTTTTGGTGGGAAGGCTTACCTGCCTGCCCCCAGGCTAAGTTAAGACAGCTGGTCTCCACTGTGGCTGCAACCACACATTTCTCTGGTTGGAGAAGGGGAGGCTCCACTCACCTGAACCCAATGCCTGGAATGTTCCCTGGACCAGGGTCCCCCAGCCCCATCACAACAGACACTGGCACCAGACCCTCTTCCTAGGGGCTGCCCTGAGCACTGCAGAATGCTGAGCAACCTTCTGGGCCTCTGCCCACTAGGTGCCAGCAGCACCCTCCCTAGTCGGAACAATCAAAAATGCCTTCGAACATTTCCAAATGGCCCCTTGGAGGAAAAACTGCCCAGGTGAAAAACCACTGTCGAGGACATAAACTTTATCCAGAGGCCTAAAAATGTTCCGGTCCAGTGCTGAGAACCCGGAGCCCACATAAAGCAGAGCCTCCCCTCTATTCCCCACCCTCCGCTAGGACCCCGCCGTTTCAGCCCAGGCACACTTCTGGCCTACCAGTCCACCTTCTCGGCGTGGCAGGGATCTGCCCTGGGCATCCCAGAGGACTCAGGCTGCTGCCCCCTCTTCTCTGAGCTCTCCCGGGCACTCGTACCACTGACAGAGCCAAAGATGCCCTCCTCGGCCAAGTCCTAGAGGTCAGCATTCAGAATGCCAGGCCCTCCGTAAGCCCTGGAAACAAGTCTGATGAAAAAGAGAGGCGCACAGACGAATGTGGGCCGGGCCTGTGGGCTCTGGGCAGGGCCTGCTCCTTCACTGGGCGCAGCAGGCACTGTGCCCAGGGGTCTAACAGAATGCCTCAATTTCTTGTAAAATCAGAAGGAAAAAGGGGCTTTTAGGTCCAAGACAATGTCTTAATATATTGTACAATACTGATACCTTCAGTTACAAGATGCAGTTATAAAATATGATTTTAGAATTATTTTTTTTTCTACAGAGTAAGGGGCCCACAAAAGTCATTAATGAAGCTCTGATCCAGGTACCAGAAGATGGAGGTCTCTTCGGCAGGCTCCTCCCAGGAGAAGCTGGCTTCTTGTCCTGAGATGCCCCCAACCTCTCTGAGGTGAAGGTCAGTTTGTCCACCCACACGGAGGCCACATGGATTCAAAGATATGTTGCGTTCCATTCCTTTATTGATCTCATCACTGCCAAAGAACATGCCAATTAGATGAGGAAATCCATGGGTCTGGTTTGCTGACGCACATGCTGACGCTCCACAACCTGAAGTAAAGCCCCGGGAAGAGGAAGGAAATAGTTGACTGGGCGGAGATCAGAAAGGACTGTAGGCTGGGAGAAGCCTTAACTCCTTGACTGTTACTACCCCCCACCAAAGAGGTTCAAGAATTCAAGCTCCCAAGTCTAATCCCCTGACTGAATC